GCCCTTTCTCTGTGAGCTGTGAAGGGCATCCATCCCCATCCTTATTCATCTGGTGGGGAGCTATTCCGGCCGAGTATTAGAAAGGGTGAAGGAGAAGAAATATTTCATCACTTCGACTTCGCCAAAACTGGAGATGCTAGGGAAGAGTCACGTGGAGGAGGATGAGCGTCCTCTCAATTAAAGCCCAGCCTACCAGACAAGCGACAGAAGCATCATCCCAATCAATGGATGCTCTTCACAGCTCACAGAGAAAGGGTGTGTCAGGTAAGTACCAACGCCCCTTTTCATCCTAATATAATTGAAACAGTGAAGGGCATCAGTTTAATTTTGAACTGTTTTCCACTAAAACATATCTATATTATAATTCCTGTTGGACTCTAATATTAATCAGGGTTTAAAATGAGATGCAGTATTTCCATCCTTCAAATGATAATGGTAGTGATTCTGAAATTTCATTTCAATAGTTGGGAGAGTCTTTTCAAGTGCCAGTTGACTTAGCAGGATAAGTCAAGGATAAATGTTTTTGTAGATTATATAAACAGAACCCATGGTTCCTAAAAATAAAGGGATTTCTAGGGGTTCTGTGTAAACTCTGATGTAGTCCCAGGGTTTAATTTGGAAAGGAGGAATATAAAGTATTATCAAAATCTTTAGCAGAATGGTCAACAAAAGCTAGCTCGTGCAACATGACTGCTGATAGACCTCAAGAAAAATTCCCTTGTATGAAACAGTAAACTGACATATGGTTTGCTATTTCATGTCATGGACCTGCTCTTTCTTTATAATCTGGTGCATTATTTTCTTTGGACTTCCCAACCACTAAGTAATCATCTTTTTTCCTGATGATAAAATAACATAGGCTAATGCACAATTGATACACTGTGACGGGAGAAAAGAATAATCTACTAATGTTGATTCAGAAAAGACAGCGAATGATCCATCAATTTTACCTTGCAATTTCAAGTTTAAGTGTCAACATCTTCTCATCTGTTAACCTTAGATAGCACTTAGAGCCAAATGTAGGCTTATCTCTTTAATTTCTATTGACAATAAAACAAAGGAAAAACTCTCTGGCTCAGATCAAAAACTTACCTGGTCCAATTTTTTTTAATGCAGTAGCCAAGCAGGTGTTTTCAGGAGGCTCATAAATCTTGGGTTTCTGCCTTTCTCTATGCTTACATATTTTCTTTGTGGATTTCATTTTTTTCTTTTCTAATTAATCCTGAACAACAGACCATGCTTAGTCTTTACTGTGTCATTCTGTATGTTTAAAACTTTTTAAAAGATTCTTTGAAAAATATTTTTCTATTGTTTTCTACTGTGAATCTATTGCATATACCACTCACCCATGTCTATTTGTAACCTTCAATTTGGCATAACTCTGCTTCATCGGGCAGCAGTTTTTCAACCAAGGTATTTCAGGTGAACTAAGTCACAGAATGCATCCAAAATCCTATCTTGAAATTTAGTAAACTTCTGGCTTCTTCAGCAGACTTCATTACAATGGTCAGTTGCTGTCCTGTGATTGGCATTTCCAGTGCTCCCTGACAACTTTTCAAAGTCAATGGGGAAGCTAGCAGGGAGTCTAAAATCAATTGTGGCAGGAACAGAGGAAGGAAGGAAGGAAGGAAGGAAGGAAGGAAGGAAGGAAGGAAGGAAGG